GGGGGGCCCTCTTCTTCCTCACTGGGCCCTCCCAAGTAGCGGAACGCCAGAGCCCAGTCACACATGCGACCTCTGCGACCCTGATAGTTCCCCTAATGGTATTTATCTGTAGTAGCCGCATAAAGTACATAGAGCAGATACAAGGGTATATACTTTTTTGGGGACCCAGCTGCTCCAGATTCATATATATGGGCGCACAGGAAGTGCACTGAACTCAAAAAGTGAAGACTTGCTATAGGGAACATTTAGAAATGTCAATTGTACCTAAGCAGTACCCCCAAAAAATGTACTTGCAATCTTGATCTCCTCCTTGAAAATAACAGTGCACTTCCGGGTATGTGGGGGTGCCTAGGCACACCTGAACCTACAGCCTCATAGCTGTATATCTGCAATGTGAGATCTAAGGCACTGCTGCCTCTAACTGCTAGTCTCCGGATGTTTGTAGTGAGATTTGGAGATCTCACTACTGCGCTGCTCACTGTTCTCCTTGCTGGAGAGGAAGCTGTACCCGAGGACTTGCAGTGCTCTGTCCTTATTCATCCTGTGGAATTGTGCTTCTGCCACATCTTCTTGATCATTACTCCACCATTCATTGGTGGGCAGCTCTGACATGAGAAAGCAAAGCCTTGCCTCTACCAAGATGAGAAACATCGTTCCTCAGAATATAACGTAACGCCTTCTGTACTATTTTCTTGGGGGGCAGACTTTGTCGGGTACATGTATGTGAGGGTTATATGGAAGGGAATACTCACAGCATCCAAGTTGGTCTTTTTGTAGAAAGCCTCGGCAAACACAGACATGACGAAGAGGTTAATGAGGAAGGACACAAACAGGGCGATGGTCGACTCAATCAGGAAATATTTGTTCGCTTCGCTGACCTCCTCCTTCTTCTTACGATCCACTTCTCTAGTCTAAACATATCACTGAATATTAATAACGGAGCCTTTACCTGAGATCCAACTCAGTATCATAGAGGAGTGAGGCTGAAACAAGTGACGGGAGAAGATACATTCCAAAATACTCTCATGTGTATCTTAAGCTGTGATCAGGCTGTTTTTTTATAAATCATATATAAAACCCAAACTTTTTTTTTTGCTTTGGATAGCATATGGCGGGGGTTGGCAACATGTTACAGGTAGACTGTGACCTCACCTTACCGCCAGCTACTAGCCACTTCTCAGACCTCAGGCCACTGCAGAGCCAAGGGAAGTCCTAGGCTCAGGTACGTCATATGACAGAGACAAGGGGAGACCTGGGCGGGTTTCACTCACTCTGCCGAGCGCTGCTGCAGCTGATCCCTGGTACAGACATACTACTGACCCCTGCACTCTGTGTTACTTACTACTGACTCCTGCACTCTGTGTTACCCACTACGGACTTCTATACTCTGCACTGCTTACTTCTAACCCATGCATTCCTTATTACTTACTACTGACCCCTGCACTCTGTGTTACTTACTACTGACCCCTGCAGTATACATTAAAAACTACTGACCTCTCTCTGCACTCTGCATTACTTGTAACCCTTGAACGCTGCATTACATACTACTAACTCCTGCACTCTGCGTTACTTACTACTGACCCCTGCACTATGCATTAAAAACTACTGACCTCTCTTCTCTGCACTCTGCGTTACCTATTCCTGACCCCTGCAGTATGCATTAAAACTACTGACCTCTCTTCTCTGCACAATGCATTACTTACTCATGATTTCTGCACTCTGTGTTACATAACACTTACCCATGCACTCTGTGATACATACTCTTGACCTCTGCACTCTATGTTACTTACTTCTGAAACTCAGCATTAACAACTTCTGTGTTACTTACCCCTGAACTCTACGTAACATACCACTGACCTCTAAACTCTGCTTTGCTTTCTACTGACAACTGCACTCTGCCTTATACACTCTTGACCTCTGCATTACATAATACTGACCCCGGAACTGTGTGTTACACAATCTTGACCTCTGCACTGTGTGTTACTTATCCCTGACTACTGAACTCTGCATTACAAACGTCTGCATTAATTACCCATGAACTCTCTGTTACATACTACTGTCTTCTGCAGTCTGCTTTACTTACTACTGACCCCTGCACTCTGTGTTACTTACTCCTGTTCACTGCACTTTGCATTACTCACTACCAACATCTGAATTCTGTGTTACTTACTCCTGCACTCTGCGTTACTTAGTCCTGACTTTTAAACTCTGTGTTACTAACTCCTGACCTCTGCACTCTGCATTACTTACTACAGATCCCTGAAATGTTCAAACCTTCCTTACTTTTTAATGGAGCTTGCACCCTGGCGATCTTTGACCACCCCCGCGTTTTTTAGGGAAATCTCCACCTCTTCAGGGTTGCCTACCCCTTGCATAACGAAATGAAAAGATACCTGTCAGGTTGTTGCTTTCATTTCCTTTCCCAGAGACAGAACAGGAAGTAAGAGAAAATATCTCAAAAATAAACGCGCTCTCCTGATTTACACATAAATAGCATAAGTACCTTAATAAATTTTAATCCCCTCCCACTTTTATTCCCTAAACAGCAGCTCTTAAAATGGGAGAGAGTGAGGAAGATCTAGGAGCCAATAAGAGCTCTTCTACATATACAAGTGCTGACAGGAGGAGAGTGCAGAGTAAGCAGAGTTGACTTATCAATGTGTTTCTGCTCCATTGTCCAATCAGCTGGCTGCAGGCAGAGAGTTGGCACTTTTGTATGTTTTGTTTTAGCTCTAATAGAGAAAGCAGTGTCGCGGTTGTCACCCTCCTGGCAGTGACGGTTGGCAGAGTGTAGGAATCACAAAAGTAGCCAGCCAGAATTACAAACCCTTTAGCAGAACAGACAGTTTATGTACTTTGCCGTTTTCCCTTTAAGAACTGCAGTTAAACCTGAAAAATGGCCTGAAAAGGAAGGGGGGTGTAACATGTTGGTGTTGAGGGGGTTAATCAATATCATTGCTAGACGCTGCAAGTTACGGGTGGAATGTCAGTAAATGTTTGCAGTGCATGTTTGTATTACCTTGACCAACGAGGAATGCAGGTATATGTTGTGTGGCATGATAATGGCTCCGATAATTCCCACGGCTTGGAGTAATTCAGGGGATCCGCAGCCAGAGCAGTACGGATAAAACATTCCCTTTAACACCTCTTTCTGGTCGGGGTGGACCACCACATACTGCGGGAACACGGCAATGTAAAAATCAGTGATGATAAAGCAATGCACCTGAGTTTACTGCAGTACGGGCATGTAGTCTGTAGACTATGAAAATGTCAGAAGTCGGCTCTAGTAGGGATGAGCTTAGGTTCGGACCAAACCTAATCCAAACATGAAAGCTGCATGGGGCCACCTGTCCAATCAGCTGTGGCTCGGGGCATTCCCCACCCCGGTGCCGACCATAACCAAAGGGGTGGGATGCTTGCTCTGATCTCATTTGGCCACATTATCATATTAGGCAAATGTAATTTACCTAAAATAGCCATGTCAATGATATCCAGGGCCGGATTTACTCTCTCTGCTGCCCTAAGGCCATGATCCTCAATGCGCCACCCTGTATGCAGGCTGAATACAAGTGTTCTCTGCAACATTGCCGAGATAATTTGTACAAAACAAGAGGCGGGTTACCCGCTGTACATTTAGCTCTGCTTGCCCAAAGCAGGGCTAAATGTAGAAAACAACTACCCGCCCGTCACCCGGAAATGCATGTCCTAGGAATTGGGAGATAGAAATTCCACACCCCTGCTTCCCCTCTACTCCCTGCTGCACCGAGTTGGCCTTGTGGGAAATCCGGCCCCGATGATATCATTGCATCCCGCCCCTTTGTTTACATGGAGCTGCGGGGGGATTGGGCTGTAGCAGAAGGAGTTTCCTTTCTGGTTCAGAGGAGCTCCTTCTGTGTGTGGAGGAGCTCAGGTTTGGACCACAAGCCCAGGAAATCAGGGACATTGGACGGGTATGATGTCACCATGGTGCTGAGACTGGTAACATTGTGTCTAAAGCCTGTGATAATCTTTAATGCCCTGCAAAGGGGGGGGGGGGGGTTTTTTTTTTTGGGGGGCAGGGGGGGGGGGGGGGGGGCATCTGATGACAATAGGGTAACGTACCCTAAATTGGGAGAGGCTACAGTGTATCACAGTGATGTCAACTGTCTTGTATCTAATCACATTCGATTTCCTTTGAATGTTTCGGAATTTCCCTGACATCAAACTCACCTCATAACCAAATGTGATCGCCATTATAGTGATGAGGAAGGCAAAGAAAGCTTCAAGTTTCCGGAGACCTGTCAATGAGAAAAATGCGTCTTGAGGATGTCTTAGGACTTTACACATTTTGCAGTTTTGTTTTACACAATTTGACCACAATTTGGCAGATCTAGCCTCCCATATGACCACCTGCAATTGAGCTCCTCTAGCAACTTCAGCGCCAAATTATAGCTAATTAGCCTACAAACGTCAGGTGGGCATAATAATCTGGCCACTCAGTGTATATAAAATGAATATTAAAATGAATGTAAACCCCAAAAATGAACTTCTCCTATGTGCTCCCTTTTGTTCTGTTAAATATATAATTGGAAGTGTTTTGTTATATATGTTCAACAAGTTAAAAAAAAATACACCAATGATCCTGCCAGAAACCCAGTGAGCTGATAACTTCCTGAGCTCTCTGCCTGTAGTCCTGTCCTAGGATGATAACTGCTCCTCCATAGAAGCACCATGTGCAGATAATTGTATGTATTAGGGATGCACCCATACTAGTATCAGTATCTGTGCCGTTGCCGAGTATTTGGGCGAGTACTCATACTCGCCCAAATGCTCCTATGCCTGACCCGATATACTTGGGCTTCCGGTATCAGGAAGCCGGGCAGCGAGTCTTTGCACGCTGCC